CTGGGCTTGAGTCCTTTGAAGCATACCTGTGGAAAACCATGCAACCTCGACCAAACTATCCATTTGTGACAATGAGTTCATGCCATCCATAATTCTTTCAAGTTTGTGAAGAAAATTCTTGTAAGACACCACCATCACTCCTTTTCTACCGTCTTCTCATAGGCTCTTCTGCCTTTCTGCCAAGGCACAGTGTTTTCTGCAGTAGGCCTGAGGTGGTGACATAATGCTGTAACAGTTGTGACATTTTTTTCATGTTATTAATTCATTAATCAAACCTGGACTCAGGACACTGGGAGCCTGACTGGCAGTGGAGAATCCTCCCTGTTCACCATTTCACTGACAGTTCACTCGAAGATGTCTCCCTGCTCCCACCCAATCCTACCCTTTCCACTCTTCTGAAAACTGATTTACAAAGTAATTTCTGACAGCCAGTGTCTCACTGAGAGTGGTACCTAGACTGAAATAAGGATTTTAAATCCATGATGTGACTTTCCCTGAAAACAAAGCATCAAGAGGCTGACACTTGGTACTACAAAAAAGGTCTCTGAACCATTATGCCAGTACCTTCTACACGTTTAAGCATTCATCTTTGAACACCTTCCTCTGCACGTCTTGTAAGGCCTGATACACAGACTGTTCATAAAACTACTGTTACAGAGAAGAACTACAGGATTTGGGCTTCCCAACTTCCATGAAGAGAGGTCTAACCTAATGATATTTACATTTAGTCAGCAAATTGCTCTGTTACTTGATGTGAATGATGGAGAAGCTGGGCAGATGTAGCTATGAACACAAGAGACAGGGCTGCCCCAGGTCATACAGGGAGAAGCGAGGAGGAAAACACTTCCTTCTAAATGCTTGACTTCAGGGTTGTGTTCTTGGATTGTGTTGAATCAACATGGAGATGCAACTGATGCCCAAGAAAAGGAGGAATGCTTTTGATGCTTTTTGACGCAGCTCTTCTCTGTGAGACTGGCATGCTCTGTGTAAAGAACACCCCACATTGGAGACAGAAGTGTATTTCACGGCAGAAGTTCCAATTCTGTATGGGGAGACAATGAGAATTCACACAACAGAGGCAGCATCCAGCATGACATGAAAGGATGAACCAAAAAGCTGTGAGGCAACATGATTTCAAGCCCTTTAAAGGAAGCTTTGAAATTTTTTCTACAAATTCAGGACAATAGAAAAGAGATCCATGCCAATCTGGTTACTGTGGCTTGCAACTGTACCCAATCTTCTTAGAATCACCAAGGCGAACACTCAGTAGAACAACATTGACCTTGAACTTCAGCAGCTTCTGTCATGACGTAGATAGAGGACCTTACATCCAAAGGCAATGCCATTTTTTCCTTCCAGAAAAATGAAGGATAAACAAAGGATCAGTTTGGTAAAAATAAAAAAGACCACCTGAGAATTACTGGTAATGTCTCAGATTTATTTTTCACTGCCTGCTTATTTCACTCTGAAAATCTAATTTCTACAATGCAAAGTTTTCAATTTCTTCATGTACATAAACACAGAATAAAGCTAAGTTAACCTGGGAGACCTCACAGACATGTGGAAAAAATGCTTTGCTGCACTTATAGCACTTGTCTGGTGTAGAATCTAGTACTTACCACTATGATGACTCCTGTATTAAGTACTGGCTTAGAAGGCTAGCTTCTTAAAAAATAGGAGAGAAAAAGAACAATTGTTGACTCAAGGCCCACACAGGTGTAGACGTGGTTAGCAGAAGAAAAAAAAAAGGGGGTGGGGGGGAGGTTGCCCATCATAACCAGTATAACTGAAAGATCTAGAACTATTTAAACAGTTTAGGGAGAGAGTTTCCAAAGAGAAACAGCTTCCTCAAAAGAGGATAAATGTGAATTTACAGTGGGAAGACTTTAATCTCTAAAGTACTGAGAAATTCAGCAGTTTGCACCAATGGTACACAGGCCAAACAAGCCTGTTATGTCTCCATCCATGGACAGAGAGGTCCCTATCAAAGCATACTTCTGCTGTGGCCAAGGCAGAGATGTGATGTAATCTAAATGCTGCTTTGCAAAAGGTGAATTCATTTCATTACACCTTGGGCCAATGTCTGGCAGCTCAGAGAGCCAGCAAACAAAAGGTATATATCTTTCAAGACTTGGGCAAGAGAGACCAAAGAGCAGAAGTCAGGAACATGTCTGAAATCTACTGCAGAACAGCTAGGGAAAGTGTAAGAATTCTCAGTTCACTTTTGTCAAATTGATCACCACGAAATAGCGAGATGGTAATGAGCAATTTCCTGCCTGGGCTGGCCAAATGAAATAGAACTGCAGTGTACTAGTCCTCTACCAAGGGCCAGAAAGAAAGGACTGGCATTCAGCCAGCCTATCCTCAGAACGTCGGATCCAATAGGAGCAGCAGAAAGGTGTTCAATGGCTCTGTCCACAGCGCTGCAGTACTTGGATGATGTTGTCAACCTCTTCAACACCAGGAAAGAAACATTGGTTTCTCCCTGAAGGTAAGATGATGAGACAAAGTTCCTGGTAGGCAGAGAGACACTCTGATTACCGAAGAGGACAAGGTTGATAAGATGCACAAGTTCAGGTTCATTCTCCTCAGGAACGTATATTTGGGTAATTACCTAGCCCTTACACTAATAGGATTTATATTACTTTTGAACATCTGCTGCTGATATTGACTACAATATGACAAAAGCTGAGCACAACAGGTGATGCTACAATCTTTAATGGACTCATTTATTGTCATAAACCAAATACACCTAAATACAGTTCTCAACAGTAATTTTCCCAATTCTTTCATGCAGTTTCATGTCCTGTTGTGCACAGCTTTTCAGAGAAAAGGCCTAAAAGAGCCACTGCACACACATGCACAGTGATTTTTTGATGCCTTCACAAGAACACAGAGAGAAATCCCTGCCAGGAGGAATGATACAACTTGCTGGCTTGAACAGGGCAAACTGAGGGTAAACAGAGCAAAATGCTGCTCTGGGAAGTGAAGTTCAGGCCAAAGCTGCAGGCTTGTTAGCTCAGGCTCACACATGACTGGGGATGGTGGGGTGCAGGTCAAACAACTCAAATATGAAACTCAGGTCTTAGCCATTTACCAATCATGAATAACATATTTAAATTTAACTTTTCACCACATAGCTTGGGTACAATAGAATCACAGAATCATGGAATGGTTTGGATTCAAAAGGATCTTAAAACTCATCTTGTTATACCCCTGTCATCAGGGACACCTTCCACTAGGCCAGGTCACTTCAAAAGCCCTGTCCAACCTGGCCTTGCACATTTTGAGGGATGGAGCAGGTACAGCTTCTCTGAGCACCCTGTGCCAGGGCCTCCCCACCCTCACAGGGAAGTTCTTCTCAGTATCCCAATAACCCTGCCCTCTGGCAGTGGAAAGCCATTACCCCTTGTACAAAGTACCTCTCCAGCTCCCTTGGAGCTCCCTCAGGTACTGAAAGGCAGCAGTAAGGTCACCCTGGATGCTTCTCTTCCCCAGGCTGAATAAATCCAACTCCCTTTTCTTTCCCTAGCATTTTCTTTTTTTCTCTGATGAATTAGGTTTTATTGTTGGAAAATTATCAGACAATATTAAAGTGCTTCTTTTTTTTTTTAACAAGACCTTTACTTTTTCCCTGTGGTGCCCTAAAAATAAAGTTTCAAATAATGTTTATCGTTTTTAAATCTTACATGTTTCATTCTTGCTGGACATTCTTCAAGAAGAAATATGCCACATTAATTTTTGCACAAACTGAATTGCTTCAGATTTTGGATATTAATTTCAGATTCATATTATCCAAGACAGAGCAGATGCAGCCATGCTGTTTCAGTGTCCTTTTCAGAAGGACAACTGGGCGTGTTTTTCCACTGGACAACTCAGGTGCTCAGACAAGTATTCCTGGTCTTCAGGGTTCCTGCATTCAGGCTGCATTCTGGGGGGGGGGCACGGTGCGTGCATGAGGACAGCCCCTGAGCTCAATCCCTTCACATTTCAAGATGAACAAAAGACATAGAATTGAAGCAAGAATATTTACGATTTTATATACCCTTTATATTAACGTTTTTTGGTAACTACGGGCATGTTCAGGAGCTTCTCCTCGGTGACCGCCCAGAGCCTTCACCAGCGCAGCAGGACCGGCAGCCGCCGAAACCCGCGCGGAGCCTCCGTAAGTGTTCAGCGGCAGGATCCTTACGTCCAGATGCGTCCCGGGGCCAGGCCTCACCCGCTCCAACCTAGCACCCAGCAGTTACCGCCACCTGGTGCCCCCGCGCATGCCGCCCGCACGGCGGCGATCAGCCCCCCCCAGCTCCGGCGAGTTCGCCCAAGGGCCTCACGGGGCTCCCGGGCCGCCTCACCGCGCAGCTCGGCCGCACCACACCCGCTCCCCCGCCTTAGGAGGCCGCGGCGGCCGCTCCCACGGCGCTGAGACACTCGGCTGCCGCCGGGATGGAGCCTGGGGGAAAAACAGGGTCCCGGAGCGGCCGCGCGCCGCACTCACCCACCTCCGCCGCTCCCTCCCGGCCGCGCGCTCCCATCACGCGGCGGCGCACAGCCCACATTGGCCGCGCCGGGGCACTTGCATCACGTGTCTCTTCTTGACCAATGGGTGGCAGCCGCGTGGCTCCACCCCGCGGGGGCAGTAGCGGCGCCCGGTGCGATCCCACCGCGGCGGAGACAAAGTGGGCCCGGGCCGTTGAGCCCGCACCGGTGCCGGCGCCCGCACCCGCACCCGCACCCGCATCCGCATCCGCACCCGCACCCGCATCCGCATCCGCACCGCACCGCACCGCACCGAACCGTCACGCCA